CGGCTGGCCAGGGTTGCCAAGGTAGGTGTCCTGGGACCTGCTTGAATACTACCTTTTCCCCAGGAACCCCACCTATCCCTAGTGCGAGCAGGTTACACTCAGCTGCCCTCTTCCCTGTCCTGTGGTTTATCTGCCTGGAAAGGGGGTTCAGTCCACGCATAAGCCTGGCCCCAAGAACTCAGCCTCGTTGGCTTTTTTTCCCACCCTCTGAGCCTGCCACCCTCACACTCCTCCTCTCAGCAACACGTGCAGGACGGCCGCAAGGAAAACCTTGAGGGGTTCATGAAGACCTTTGATAAAGAGCTTCCAGAAGATGCTCACCCTGGAATCTACGCCCTTGACTGTGAAATGGTGAGTCGTCTGGCTGACCACAGGCCCTTGCTAAGGACTCCTGGCCCTTACAGGGTGCAGGGGTCTTGTGCTCCGTGGGCCTGTCCCAGCTTCTCTGCCTGAAGCTTTGGGCCTGTGCAGATGTTAGGATAAAGAGCAGATGAAGAGCGTGAGCAACAATTAGGTCCTCCTCCCTGTGGGTCACGCTGTGTCTGTAACCCTAAGGCTCAGTCGGGGTCTTACCGGCGTCTGCTCAAAAAGGGCTTTTCTCCCGTTTCCAAGTAGCTGCTCTTACCTGACCCCAGCACACAGCACACGCTCTGGACACAGCCTTACTCGGTTCCCTCTGCACTCAGATGCTGTGCAGATTTCGTGGCCAAATGCAGGTTTTGAGACAGGGGCCTGGTTCACACCTGCTCTGACCCCTAGATGGGCCCCGGAAGGGCCTCTGGCCTGGGGCGAGAACCTCTGCTGCAGGGCTCAGGAACCAGGGGCAGCCTGGGTTGTGAGCACTGGGCTGGGTTGTCTGGCCCAGTGCCCATGGAGGGAGGCGGGCCATGGGCACGTTTGAACAGGGTCCTCTGGCCTGCAGTCCTACACCACATACGGCCTGGAGCTGACGCGGGTCACAGTGGTGGACACCGACATGCAGGTTGTTTACGACACCTTCGTCAAGCCGGACAATGAGATTGTGGACTACAACACAAGGTATGTCTGACCCTCCGGGGCTTGGGATCCCAGGGTGGTAACCGTGCACCCCACTAGGATCCACCCAGCTCCTAGGTTGGGGACCCCTGGTGCCCTCCCAGCCACCCTAAGGTCCCTGCCCCTCCTGCCCCAGGTTTTCGGGAGTGACCGAGGCCGACCTTGCCGACACAAGTATCTCGCTCCGGGACGTCCAGGCCGTCTTGCTGAGTATGTTCAACGCTGATACCATCCTCATCGGCCACAGCCTGGAGAGCGACCTGCTGGCCTTGAAGGTATCCTGGCCCCCCAGGCTGTGTCCTCAGAGGGCGGGTGGGGCTGTGGGTCAGTAGCCAGACAGACGCTCTGGAATCCTCACAAGCCCTGGATGCCTTTGCGCCCAGCCCTCCAGGGCCCTAGACCCTGAAGTCCCTGACAGGCTTGCCGTCCCGCAGGTCATCCACAGCACCGTGGTGGACACGTCTGTGCTCTTCCCACACCGCCTGGGCCTCCCCTACAAGCGCTCCCTTCGGAATCTCATGGCCGACTACCTCAGACAGATCATTCAGGACAATGGTGAACAGTGGGGCGGGGGCAGCGGGAGGGGAGTTGGTGGGAGCTCGGTGGGTCCCCAGGGCTGGCCCATTCTGACCTGCCTGCCCCCTCCACAGTGGATGGGCACAGCTCCAGCGAGGACGCCAGCGCCTGCATGCACCTGGTGATCTGGAAGATTCGAGAAGATGCCAAGACCAAGCGGTGACTGCCGCCCGCCCCCCACCCTCCTGCTCCCGCCTCCCACTGCCCCGGCACATCCTCTAGCCCCAGGCCTCTTCCAAAACAGTGCAATAAATCTCGAGAGCTAACCCTGTCCACATCACCAAGATACGAGAACGGAGAGCACAGGAGGAGCCACGTGGCACCCAGACCCAGCTGAGACCTGCCTAGACCCAGGCCCTGGGTAGCCCCTTGCGGCCTCCCTGTGTCTGCCCCAGATTGCTGTTCTCTGGAGACTGCTGCTGCTGACAGTGGAGGCTGGACCACCCCTCCGGGCCCTGCTTGTGTCCCTAGCAGTGACCCTTGTAGGCTGACCACCTGTTCCTCCCCCCTCACCTGCCAGAGTGTCCAGTGGGCCAGGCAGTCTTGTCATGGGTTTGTTTGGACAGGGGTTGTCTTTTTTTATTTTGTATGTTATTTTTATTATTTTTAATTTAAACCTGATGACCTGCAATGTTGTCTTCCCCCCACCTGGAGGAGCAAGACCCTGGTGCTGCCTTCCTTCCTGGGGGATGGGGGTTGGGTGGGGGGAGCAATCAGCTGGTGCTGCTACAGCCACCAGGACCCCAGGGTCCAGCCTGGCCTGGGCCTGGTTAGGTGGGAATTGGTCCCCCTCAATCCACCGGGACTCCTTGAGCTCCAGGAACTGAGCCAGTCCCCAGGGCCCTGGCATCTGAACACTTCCCATCCGAGTCCCGCCTCATTGGGAGCTGTTTGTCAAGGCCCACAGCCCCCTCCCCAATGCCCCAACCCCCGGGCAGGGACGGAATAAATGTTTGTATGGATTTTAGATGCCGTGGGGTCCAGTGGTGTTCTTGGCGCCAGGTGTGACTCCACAACTGTGGAGGTCATTGTCCCCATGGCCAGGACCTGCCCAATGGGGGAGCAGGAAAGCCAGCTCTGGTTCCCCGGCTGCCCCTGCCCTGGGGACGAAGTATTCCCGAGCAGTCTTGATGGTTGGGGCCTGTCATGCTTCCAGGCAGGTCCTGTGAGGGGCTGGACGTCGGAGAAACTACCATGGAGAGGTGCACCGTTTGCCAGTCCCCAGAATTGTGTGCGCAGGGCCCGGAATCCACCCCGTTTGTGTCTCGTGGCTTTTGGGGGGTGGGAGGGCCAGCCAGACTGTTCATGATTCTGCTTTTCATTTATTCAAAGTGAAAAGTGAAGCCAGAAAAAGCCTTGTGATACAAGAGATGCTGGGAATGCCCGGGTCCTGCTGTGGGCGCAGAAAGGTGCTGGGAAGAAGGCTGCCGGGAGGAGGCCCTGCCACCCTGTCTCTGGCTTTTGCTGAGGACATAGCAGCCCCTCTCCTAGGGCTTCCTGGGCCAGGTTTCCTCTCGGTCCTGGTGCCCGGGAGGTGACAGCTCGTGCCAGTCAGGCGCTGCCACTTCATCCTCTGGGCTTTTTTGGTGACCAGTGACTTCACCCTCCTCTTCTGTGAACAGGTTTTCTAACTAGTTGGTGCCAGTGGCTTTACAGAAACCCGTTTCTGTGTGGTGTCTGTACCCCTCAGCACGAAAGAGGGGACGCTGGGGGAGGAGCTCCCCAGCTCAGGAGGTATGCAAGCTTCCAGCTGGCTGGTCACTGCTCAGGGAGCTCCTCTCCCTGCCGTTACTGCCCCAGGGAGGGGAGCAGGTCCCCTGACTCCTCACAGCCGCACCCAGCAAGGTCTCTCCTAAGCTCCTCTCCCAAGGCCTTTCTCCTGAACCACTGGGGAGGGCAGGATGGACATTAGGTGAGTGAGTGAGTGAGTGAGTGAGTGAAAGAAAGGAGAGGTTTACTTGGCACCCCAGAGGCCAAGCAGGACATGCAGACCCCGCTTCTGATGGGGAAGGGGGGATCTTCATTTGTTCATTCACTCACTCACTCACCTAACATCTGCTCATAGGTGATGCTGGTGCCTCAGGGGGGCCCGAGCCCCAGGTGGGGAGAAGACACTAGGGCACAGGATCAGACACACGCACCCCCATTGGGTCAGGACAGGGGCAAAGCGAGGGGCCCAGGGGTGGGATAAAGGGCCAGAGCCCACTGCCTTCCTAACTGCTGCATTGGAGGGGGCTCCTAAAAGTGAAATGTGATGAAACAGGGAGCTTAATCATCTCCCTTGTGCCCCTAAGTTTGTCCCTCCCCCCAGTCCCAACTCTCAAGGGGACCCTAACTTTAGTAGCCCCTTCCACACACCCTCCCACTTGGCTGTAGTTCTCCATCCCCCAGCGTCACCTCCTTTAGGAAGGCCCCCCCTCCCCTGCCCTGGCCGCCCGCTGAGTGGGCGCACACCAGCACAGAGCCCTACGGTTTCCTCCTGGCATTAGGATGGTCACGGTGTCTAACAGCCTCCCCCAGCCCAGGGCCCAAGATTGTGCCCTCGCATAGGAAGTACGAAAACCTGCAGTTACCGCCTAGCCTGTCCGTGCGTCCTTCCTCCGCCTCTACTCCCAGACAGCCCGGGGGAACCTCCACCATCTCCAATCCACTTTACTTAGCCCCTTTACAAGGTCCCGCGCCTAAATGATAGGCCCCTTAATACTCTAGTGCTATTAAGAACTCCTCGCTCTAGCTGGGTAGTTGAGTTGGTTAGAGCGTCATCTGGATATGCTAAGGTTGTGGGTTCAATCCCTGGTCAGAAACAATAAGAAACAATCCATGAATGCATAGATAAGTGGAACAACAAACTGGTATTTCTCTCTCCCTTCTTCTCTCTCAAAAAATGTCAATAAAGACACCTCCTCTCTCCATTAGTGCAAGACCCCCCCACTGCAGCCCCCACCACTGCAGCACCCCCACCCACTGCAGCCCCCCACCCACCGCAAGACCACTAGGCTGGCACCGCTCCCGAGATGATCCCAGGCTCTGCCTCTGCCCTGGCCCCACCCACGGGACCCGCCCTGCCTCGCCCCTACCCAGGCCTTCCCTGCAACGCCCTGCCCTCACTTCTCTTGGCCCCACCTTCCCGAGGGGATGCGGATTCTTGTCTGTATAAGGGGATCTCCGGCCCAGGGAGGACCTGAGGGAGGGAGGAGGTTGGGCCTGGAATCCTGGAATCCTTTGCCTTGAGGCTTCCTTATGTGTGTGTGTGGGGGGGAGGTGGGTAGGGGGCTAGACTAATGGGGTGCTCGGGTGAGCTGAGTGGAAATGAGGGGGCAAGCGCTAGGACGTCTTCCTACCCCAGATACATTTTGGGTAAATTCTGGCCACCCCAGCACCTCCCTCCCCACCCCCCACCCCCCATCCTGCACAGAGTCTTCCTGGGCTCCGGTCCCACTGTCTGAACCTCACTTCTCATTTGGGGAATAGGCGGCACAGCCCAGGCTCCCAGGAGCTTCTGAGCTGGCCCTGGGCCACGTCCTCCCCGACGGCTCCAGGGAAACCTGTGACTCAGACACCAGCCATCCTGACCTGAAAGGGAAAGAAGCAGAGGACGGAAGGTGATGAGATCTGGGATGGGGGACACCCCGGGTAGAGGGGGAGCCCAGAGAAGTTGCCTGAAGAAGCCCGGCCTGTCTGAGAACTGTGAACGGAGACCAGAAGGGTGAGGAGGGGGGCACCGAGCATGCGGGAAGGGGGCTCCCCCCAGGGCGGGGCAGGGGGGGCAGCCCTGGTCAGGGCTCGGAGAGCTGCCTGCGGAGTGCCCTCTGGTGAGACGAATTCCTGGCGTTGATGGAATGACCGTGAACTAGAGAGGCTGTGGGAAGGCTCTGGGCGCTGTGGGAAGTCTGGTGTCTGCCTCCACCACAGTTAACTGCCCTGAGACCACGTTGAGACCTCTCAGAGCAGCTGGCCCTTTATACAAGCTTAGCAATTAATGAATAACTCAAGGGCCCATGTAATCAGTCAACAAACACGCATGGAGCCCCTCACTGGCCTGGGCATTGCGTCCCTTGTGGAAATGGGTTAAGAGGGGACAGCAGGGAGACCCAGGGGGAGGTGGGTGTGGCCATCCCAGGAGAGGCAACGGTGGCCTGGCCAGAGGATGGACCTGGGGGTGGGCAGCAGCAGCCGGAGGTAGAACCCATTCTGGAGACCTGCTGTAAAGGAGTCAAGGCAACTTCAGCTTGGTAGCTGGAGGGACTGGTGGACATGGGGCTGTTGCAGGACGGGGATCGGTGGGGGCCCCAGATATTCAGGAAGGACACTCAGCATCGCTGACTCAGAGCTGGGAAGGTGGCACCGATGGAAGTGGGAGGCGACATTTTAGAGAGAGCAGGGTAATGGACAGCGTGTGGCAAGGGCTGGGCAGCTGGTGTGACCCTAGCCCCTCTCCCCGACAGCACCACCAGCGCGAGCGAGTCTGGCCTACGGCGAGGACCTTGAGGAAGAAGAAGAACTCAGGTGCATGTTTTGGGGCCAAGTGTGGGGTGTGGGATAGAAGAACTCAGGTGCATGTTTTGGGGCCAAGTGTGGGGTGTGGGATCTGTAGAGTAAGCCAAGGGGCATTGCAGAAATATGGGGATGAGGAGACACCCCCCCCCAGCCCCGCCCAGTCCATCCTTGACTTACGAGTTTAATTTGCTCCGAGACCGAGCTCGTTAAGGAGCTCTTAACTCAAATTACTCTGTCAACTCAATGCAAAAAATCGGCCGGAGAGACAGCTGGTATCTCAAAAAACTCGTTAGTCGGGACACTCGTAAATCAAGGCCCTACTGTAGTCCCAAATCCCATAACTGAATGCTAGACTCAGGAATCGGGCTGCAGACCTGAAACAGCTGGGCCGCCCAGGCTGGGCGAGGAGCCTCCGCTCGGGGCCGGGCACCAGGCCTGTTTCCCCGCCTGTAGAAGGAGGGCATGAGTGGGTCTCCCAGGCCCGTCCTCTGAGCCTAGGGACTGGCCCAGGGCGGTGTTTGTTTACCAGCTCCCACATCCATGGCGGTTCCCCGGGGGACCCATTAGACCTCCTCCAGGGGATCCTGCGGCCGTGTTCGCTGCACCCCATGCAACACCTGCTCTCTCCGGCTCAGCGTTCACCTGGGAGGTGAAGGCCAACAACCGGACCTACAACAACCAACTGAAGCAGAAGGTCTTCCTGTGCTGGCAGAGGAAGAAGTACAAGGTGGGCGGCCCCAGCCCCACCGTCCTCTGCTACCTCCTCCCAACCAGCCCACTCTCCCGCACACACTGAATTTTAATTGCGAATGAATCACCAGTTTGGTGCTAGAGTTCCCACTGTTTCCTTAGCCCTACCCCAGTTCACCTTAAAATATGAAAATACTGCCCAGCCGGTGTGGCTCAGTGGTTGGATATCCAACTGTGAACCAGGAGGTCATGGCTCAGTTTCCGGGTCAGGGCACATGCCCTGGTTGTGGGCTTGGCCTCCAGTAGGGGGTGTGCAGGAGGCAGCCAATCAATGATTCTTTATCATCATTGATGTTTCTATCTCCCTCTCGCTTCCTTTCTGAAATCAATAAAAACATATTAAAAAAGAAAATACTAAATCTTCAAATTACAATGTGTCCATCAGACTCTGCCTAAACCCCCCCTGGTTGTCTCACTTTGAGAAATACTGGGGTCACAGTCCCACTTGATGTGTCTTTGCATTCAGTAGGGGCTCAATCACTGCTGGCTCAAGGCTGCATTCAATTGGCACTCAGTAATGCTGGTCTGAAGGCTCTGCATTCAGCAGGTGCTCAGTAGAGCTGGCTCACGGTAGATAGGTAATACTGGCTCGAGGCTTTACATGCACCGGGTACTTAATTATTGCTGATTGTGGTCAAAGGGCAGGGTGAGGCTAAGGTGGGGCCCTGTCCTGGACAGCACCTCCATGCTGGCTCTCATTCCAGGGCAACATCATCCACACAGCCAAGTACAACGTCTTCTCCTTCCTGCCCTTAAACCTGTACGAGCAGTTCCACCGAATGTCCAACCTCTACTTCCTTTTTATCATCATTCTCCAGGTGGGGCAGGAGAGGGGTGGCTCCAGGGGTCAGTACAAGCACCTGAGCACAGACCATTCCTTCCATCTGCTCAAGTTGCCTCCTCCAGGAAGCCCTCCTTGACCAGCTTTGCCACATGGCTCTGTAGACACATGGAGGTTCGAGTGTGTGTTTGTGTGGTTGGGAGGAGGGGTCGGTGTCTGGCTGCTCACACACTGGGAGCCCCCTCATGGCTGAGTCTCCACTGCTCAGTCCAGGGCCTGGTTCACAGAAGATGCTCTCAATATATGTCCAATGATGAAGGTGCATGAGTGGCTCCTCTGGGTCCAAGGCGGGCACAGCCTCTCCCCAGGATGGACAGCCTTGGCCATGTGACCCTCTGGGCCTCGGCCCACTGAGCTGACCCCAAAGGGTGAGGAGGAAAGAAGGTTGAGAGCAGGTTCCCAGCACCTGGGTGGCCCTGCCAGATGGGCAGATGTCCTCCCTGGGCAGCTCCCTCTCTCGGTGAGTGGGCAGCTCACAGAGCGCCCCGGCCCCCCTCAATATCTTACCGTGCTGACCCCCTCTGCTTTGATCCATCGATGCAATAAACACACTGTGTGCAGGGCCTATGCTAGACACTGAGGACCTGCCGGTGGCCCTGGCACCCACCGCCATGGAACCACATGGAGGGGACCAGTGATGGAAAGGGGACCCACACCCCAACCCACGCTGGCCCGGGGTTCGCTTGGAGCTCAGGCCTGAAGGCTGACTGGGAGGAGCAGGGGTACAGGGAGGGAAACAGTCAAGCCGAGGCTCTGATGAGGGAGCGAACTGGGGGCTGGCAGGGCTTCCTGGAGGGTGTGACTGGGAGCTGGGCATGGAGAGGAGCTTGCAGGGAGAATAGGAAATAGAGGGGCAGTTGTCCCCAGAGTTGTAGGGGGAGGTGGCTGGCCTGGAGCCCCGGGGGTCGGCAGGTGGGACACAGGATGCCAGGGTGAGGGGCCGGCTGGGAGGGCAGGGGACGCGGTTTGGCGCAGTGTTTGGGACGGTGGTTCGGTATCGCCTTCCCGGCATGACCCAACCTCTGTGCCAGGGCATCCCCGAGATCTCCACGCTGCCCTGGTTCACCCTCTTCGCCCCGTTCACCTGCCTGCTCATCATCCGGGCCACCCGAGACCTGGCAGATGACATCGTAAGTGGGGCCCAGGGACCGTTGGGGAGGGGGTTGGGGGCAGGGTGCGGTCCTTGTCTTGCTGCCACAGGGACAGGTGTCCCATAGCTCTATGGCCCTCGGTGCCACACTGGGTGATAGGTGGACCGTGCCTTCCTTCTCTTCATAGCCGTGTCCCAGCAGCCCCCCTTCCTCCATCAGGGTCCCTGGACAGATGTGGCTGGTGTGGGGGTAGCATAGGGGTGTGGCTGGGGGTGGGATCATCCTGGGGGAGGCAGGGCGGGGGCGGGGCCACCCTTCTGACCCACCTCTGTGGACTCAGGGCCGACACAGGAGTGACAGGACCATCAACAACAGGCCCTGCCAGATGCTGGTGGGGAGCAGGTGAGGCCGCTGGCGCTGTGGGGGGTGCACCCTGAGGACGGGGACTCCCGCACAGCTGGTGACGGGGGCGGGGGGCGGGGGGACATATCAGGGAGGGGTGCCCAGTAGAGTGCCCAGAAACGTCCATGCCCCCGGACATCCTGGTGGAGTCTGGTGTCTGACAGGGACCCAGCCTGCTGTCTGCCAGGCTAAGGGCTGGGCCCTGTGATGGGGAAAGAGGCTGGGACCTGAGCGCGAACCTTGCAGGGCTGAGTTCAGCTGCAGGTCTGAAGGGACTTGGATGCTGAAGGGGGTGGAGGAGGCAAGGTTAGAGAAGGTTGGACTTCCCCTGGGCTGAGAGTCCCCCACAAAGACCTGCGGTGGGCAGGCAGGGAAGCAAAGCTCAGAGGGGCGGCTGCAGTCCCTGCCCCTCCCTATTCTTCTAGTTTGGGGGGGGGTGGTAAGGGTTCCAAAGACAAGCCTGGCTGGGCCCCTCTCACACCTGCTGCCCACCCCCTACAGCTTTCTGTGGAGAAAATGGAAGGACCTGTGTGTGGGGGACCTGGTCTGTCTGCACAAGGACAACACTGTCCCGGTGAGCTGGGTCACCTGGCTCAGACTCCCCGCTCCTGGGGGAGGGCTGCCTCCCTGCTTGTCTTTCTCCTGTGCACGCCCCTCCCCCAGTGCTGTCTTCTTCCTCCCACCCCAGGCCGATGTGCTCTTGCTGGCCAGCACGGAGCCCAGCAGTTTGTGCTACGTGGAGACAGCAGACATCGACGGGTGAGGCACAGGATCACTAGGGGCTTGGGGGCCTGGGAGCCAGCGAGGCCTTCCCCAGTGGCCACAAAGGGTGGGTCCCCAAGCCCACGGGGATATTGTGGGCATTCATCCTGGGAGCATTTGTGGGGGACAGTAACATTCAGTCAGAGAAAGGGACCCACCTTCTCTGCACCAACACTTCTGGAGGCCCTGCTGTGCTCCAGGTGCGGCCGTCCGAACCTGAGAAGGCCTGAGCCATTCCACAAACGTCCTGCGTCAATGTGGGCAAGGCCCCCTCCGCCTCCTGATGGGCATCTGAGCCGCAGTAGGGGCTCCGTGAAAGTGTCTGAGTGACTCTGGAAGGGGCTGGGGTGCCTTGCCTGGGTGCTGCCTGTCCCCACCTCTCCCCTCACTCCTCTTCTCATCACCAGGGAGACCAACTTGAAGTTCAGGCAGGCCCCGATGGGCACGCACCAGGCGCTGACCAGTGAAAGGAAGATGGCTTCCTTCCAAGGTGAGAGGTGGCGAGTTCACCCACCCATCTGGGCCCTCGTCTGCCCCTCTGTGCAGCAGGCATGGAACTTCCCCACTTCACTGGGTTTGGGGGACAGTGATGGGGTCTACTGGGGGGTGTCGGGGGTCAAAATAGTTTTGGTGTTTTTTTTGGTTAATCCTCACCTGAGGATATTTTTTCCATTGATTTTTAGAGATAATGGAAAGGAGGGAGGGAGGGGGAGAGGGAGAGAGAGAGAAGCATTGATGTGAGAGAGACACATTGATTGGTGTTCTCCCGCACACACCTGGACCTGGACCGGGCCGGGGATCCAACCTGCAACCCTTCCGTGTGCAGGCCCACACTCTAACCACTGAGCACACCAGCCAGGGCAAGATAGCTTTTATTTTATTTATTTATTTATTTATTAAAAATATTTTGATTTTTTTTACAGAGAGGAAGGGAGAGGGATAGAGAGTTAGAAACATTGATCAGCTGCCTCCTGCACACCCTCTACTGGGGATGTGCCCGCAACCAAGGTACATGCCCTTGACTGGAATCGAACCTGAGACCCTTCAGTCTGCAGGCCGACGCTGAGCCAAACCGGTCAGGGCAACAAGATAGCTTTTAATAGGCCAGCTTATCCCAGGCCTGTTTCATGTCCTTTACATCCATGTAACAGTCGGAGCGTTTTCTGTTACTGTTAGAAAACATGCTGCACCATTGTATCAGGCGTTACATTTTATTTTTAAACCGTGATCACATTAAAGCAAATGTTTTTGGTTGTTTAATCAAAATGGCAGCCTCTGTGCACAGAGACAGGGAACCGACCGACCCATCCATCGCAACTTCTTATTTCCCACCTGAAAAGTGAGACATTTCATACCTGTGGGTAGAACTACTGTTTGCCAGAGCCCAGCAAGGGGCTACAGTATTTTTTTCCCTGTCTTATTGCAAAGACAAGTTAATCAAATCGGGTCTAGAGCAGAATCTTCCTCTCAAACACAGCCCTTTTGCTCTGGATATTCAAGCGTTGGTTGCATTTGTTTTCATGGCACCTGAGAAAAAGCCTCGCTTACATGGAGGCCAGGCACCGTGCGCCGGGTGCTGGGCTAGGCCCCAGGGTCCCCAGCATGAAGGAGATGCGGCTGGCGCCTCCTCTCACAGCACTCACAGGGGTTCAGGACACCACTGCAGGATTGTAACCAGGAGGAAGGGGACTCAGGGGGCGCGGGGGGGGGAGGGGGGCTGATCTGGCTGGAGGAGAGGGTTTCCCTGAGGAGGTGTGCGTCCTGGCACAGGGAAGAGGATGCACAAAACCCCTGAGGCTTAACAGCCAGCTTTGGAGCATCCAGGGGGAAGCTGCGTGGCAAGGGGTGGAGGTGCCAGTGGGGCAAGTTTGGGGCAGTGCAGGGCCCTTGGGGGTTGCTAGAGCCAGAGGTGACAGAATGTTCCCCACGCCTGCCCCACCCTGCTTTGGAGAGGGGTGGCCTGACCCCAGCCACGCCCTCGGCTCCCTGATTGCCCTGTCCCCCATAGGCACGGTGGTGTGTGAGGAACCCAACAGTCAGATGCACCACTTTCTGGGGTGCCTGCAGTGGGAGGGCAAGAAATATTCCCTGGACAGTGGCAATATCCTCCTACGTGGCTGCAAGATCCGAAACACAGACACCTGCTATGGACTGGTCATCTATGCCGGTACCGCCGCGCTGGGCCCTGCAGCATGAGCTTTCCTGGTGGGGGTGGGTGGCGACTCTGAAACTGTTGGCAGGAACTCACAAGGCCAGGCCTGGCTGCTGTGTGTCTGCTGCCATAGGTGTGGGGCTCCCGACATGGTTTCTATGGGGCCTGGGTTCTAAAACTGTGGAAATGTGCATATTGAGCCAGCACCCTTGTTACTTGGCTGGAAAAAGTGGGGTGCTTGTATATAGATGGCTGGGTGGCTGGGCAGGTGAATGGATGAGTAGGGGGTGACAGAGGGATGGCGGATGGATGGATGGATGGATGGATGGATGGATGGATGGATGGAAGAGTGAATAGGTGGACGGATGGATAGATGTATGTGTGTATGAATGAATGGATGGATGTATGGACAGACAGATGGATGCAAACCCTGCAGGTTTAGACACGAAGATCATGAGGAACTGTGGCAAAATCCATCTGAAGAGAACCAAGATAGACCGTCTGATGAACAGGCTGGTGATCCTGGTGAGCTGCCTAGAGCCCCAGCCTGGGGGTTGGGAGGACACAGAAGAGGGAAGGGAAAGGTCCCCATAGACAGAGCCCTGGCTGTCATCTTTTAGGCCTCAGTTTCCCGCCTCTGCAAAACGTGCAGCCTGACCCTACAGACAGGTCTGTGGGCCAAAGACTCTTCTTAGAATCATGACACGTAAGAAATGTCTTTATAAAATAAATGTTGATCCTGACATTTTTCCAAATCCACAGGAGATTATAAAATGCTCACTTACCCTCCATGGGCATTCATTTAATAATTCTTAACTCTTTGCCTAATCAACTTTACCTGTATTTTTTATTAAAAAAATATTTTTATTAATTTCAGAGAGGAAGGGAGAGGGAGAGAGAGATGGAAACATCAATGATGAGAGGGAATCATGGATCAGCTGCCCCCTGCACGCCCCCTATTGGGGATTGAGCCTGCAACCTGGGCATGTGCCCTGACCAGGAATCGAACCATGACCTCCTGGTTCATAGGTCAATGCTCAACCACTGAGGGCTTCCATTGCTTTTTAGAGTGAGTGGAAGGGAGGGAGGGAGTGTGGAAGGAAGGGAGAGAGAGGGAGGGAGGGAGAGAGAGAGAGAGAGAGAGAGAGAGAGAGAGAGAGATCATGTGAGAGCTACACATTGACTGGTTGCCTCCAACAAGTGCCCCACAGCCTGACCAAGGTGGGGATTGAACCTGCAACCCAGGAATGTGCTCTTGACCGGGAATCAAACCTGAGACTCTTTGGTGCCCTGGCCAACCCTCTAACCACTGAGCCATGCCAGCCAGGGCTCAACTTTATCTTTTTAAAAGTTGTAATATAATTTTTAAAATAGCAGCCACAAAACCCAGCAAAACCCCTGCAAGTTGCCCTCCCCCTGGGACTGCCAGCCACCTCCCCCTAGCCCCGCTCCCCCATCCTGATGGCAGAACTTGGGGTGGGGGACTTCTCACTTCCTGTTTGTCTTTTACACTGGCTGTGGCCCTGTTGGCTAGTCGCTGGGGTGTCTCGGTGCTGCCCTGGGCCCCTCCACATGCTCCACCATCTCCTGTTTGCTGAGCAGATCTTCATGTCCCTGGTGCTGATCTCCATGGCTTTGACCTTGGGCTTCTGGGACAAGGTGAAGGAATTCAAGGCCAAGCACCACTACGTGTCTGAGAAGCTCACGTACAGCGTGGCCACCGAGTCTTTCTTCACCTTCTGGGGCTTCCTCATTCTACTCAGCGTCATGGTGCCCATGGCTATGTTCATCATGTGAGTCCCCGGGGCTCCTCCCCACCCACTCCTCAGCCAGCGAGAAGGGGGAGCTTGGGTGGGCCATGGGCCAGGCCTGACCCAGCGTGTGTCTGCAGAACCGAATTCATCTACCTGGGGAACAGCATCTTCATCAACTGGGACAGGCAGATGTACTACCAGCCCCAGAACATGCCTGCCAGAGCCCGAAACACCAGCCTCAGTGACCAGTTGGGTCAGGTGGCGTACATCTTCTCGGACAAGACCGGCACGCTCACACGGAACATCATGACCTTCAAGAAGTGCTGCATCAATGGCGTTGTCTACGGTGGGGCCTTCCCTGACCTGTCCTTCCCCCACGGCGCCGCCCAGCACGCCTGACCTTGGGGTGCAGGAGGGCCCTGGGGAGCTGCAACCACCAGGAGACCTGAGTGGGTCTCAGGGTCAGCTGACCTGCCCACCTGGGCCCCGCCCCCAGCAGGCCTATTGGGATCTGAAGCTCAGAACTGCAGCCAAAGGCCTCCTCTCTGGGGGTCAGCAAGCTATTCCTGTAATAGGCCAGCAAGTTAATACGCACATATATTTAATCCTCACCTGAAGAAATTCTCCCCATTGCTTTTAGAGAGAGTGGAAGGGAAGGGGATGGGAGGGAGAGAGAGAGAGAAAGAGTGAGAGAGAGAGAAACATGGATGTGAGAGAGAAACATTGACTGGTTGTCTCCTGCATGCACCCCGACTGGGCTGGGATCGAACCTGCAACCCAGTTATGGGCCCTTGGCCAGGAATCGGACCCAGGACCCTTCAGTGCTCGGGCCGACGCTCTAACCATCGAGCACACCAGTCAGGGTCAGCAAGTCAATATTTTTAGCTTCCCCTGCGGCACCGTCTCTGTGGAGACTCAGCTCAGCCCTGGTCCCCGGAAAGCAGCCTCTGCTGCGTGTGGACGCTGAGCTTCGAATTCCAGAGCGGCTTACGTGTCACGAAATAGTATTATTTTGGTTTTCACAAACCTCTGACGTTTGAAATCCATAGCATCTTCACATGTCACAAAATAGAGTATTCTGCTTCTGACGGTCACAGACTTTACCGACGACGCCAATTTTGAATTTCACAGCATTTTCATGTTTCACGAGACAATATTCTTCTTTCAATTTCCCTCCAACCAGTTAGAAATGTGAAAACTCTTTTTAGCTTGCAGGCCACAGAAAAGCTGGTAATGGTGCAGGGCGAAGTTCGCCAGCCCCTGGGCTAGTTTTTAGCGAGGTTTAGAGCAGGAGCGGACAGAGGACCCAGCTGGCAGCAGGCAATCATCAGCATGAGAAATGGAAATGCCACCTGACCCTGAGCCAGGGCCCGGGAGGTGGGTGATAGAGAGCAAGGAGGGGGGGGGGTCTGTGGTAAGTGGCTGGTTTCTCTCATGTTGCTCTCTCTGTTTTTCTTCTCTCTCTCTCATGTTTCTATAAGCACTCTGGGGCCAGACTTTTATTTGAAATCATCCACTTTTTCAAAGTAGCAGCCAAGTTTTATAAGCCACCATGAATAGTTCAAACAAGATGTGTTCCATGGGGCCGCATCCCTGTCCGGACAGTCTTTCCAAGACCCCCCAGGAGCCCTGGCCGTTTTCGCTCAGTGGTTAGAGCATCAGCCTTTGGACCACAGGGTGGCAGATTGGATTCCGGTCAAGGGCACATATCTCGCTTGCAGGTTCCCCAGCCCCCGTAGGGGCGCGTATGGGAGGCAACCAATTGATGCGTCTCTCTCACATCGATGTTTCTCTCTCTCTCTGTTTCCCCCTCCCTTCCACTCGCTCTAAAAATAAATGGAAAAAATATCCTTGGGTGAGGATTAACAACAACAACAAGATTCCCCCAGGAGACGGGCCCCCATCTGTCCCTCCTTGTGCAGAAGGCAAAGCTGCGGCTGGGGGTCCGTTGTTGTTTAGGGTTCAGACCCCAGGAAGACTGGCATTGGGGGCGGGGACTGTGGGACCCTAAGCTGTCTGGGGTGCTGAGGCCTGAAGCAGGGTCTTTCCTCAGGCCCAGACGAGGAGGAGACCCCACCCAACGTGAGTGCTGGCCCTGCAGCCCTGGATGGTGGTGGTGGGGGCCGGGCAGTGACCTACCCAGAACCGGCTTGTCCCCCCCCTAGGAGAACCCCTACCTCTGGAGCAAATCTGCGGATGGGAAGCTGCTCTTCCAAAATGCGAGGCTCCTGAGCGCGGTGTGCGGCAACCAGGACGCGATGGTGCGGGAGTTCTGGCGCCTGCTGGCCCTCTGCCACACGGTGATGGTGCAGGAGGAAGACGGTGAGTGGGCTGGGGCTGCCCAGCCTGCGGGGGTGCTCAGGCCCTGCGGCCCCTGCAGCGTCTCCTGGTCTGAGAGGTTGTCCAGCCCACCCCCCAGGGCTCCTGTCATCCAGCCTAGAGGGTTCTCAGGCCCCGTCCCAGGCTCCACCTCGTCTGCACCGAGCGGGTGTCCAAGCCTGGGGCTCGAGACCTGCTCCTGAACCGGGTGGGGAAGGTCATCTGGCCTGGGGCCCAAGTGTCCGCCTTCTTTTTTTTAAATATATTTTATTGATTTTTTTACAGAGAGGAAGGGAGAGGGATAGAGAGTTAGAAACATCGATGAGAGAGAAACATCGATCAGCTGCCTCCTGCACACTCCCTACTGGGGATGTGCACACAACCAAGGTACATGCCCTTGACCAGAATCGAACCTGGGACCCTTCAGTCCACAGGCGGATGCTCTATCCACTGAGCCAAACCGGTTAGGGCCCGCCTTCTTTTATTTGGCTTAGAGGTTGTACTGGTCCAAGAGGCCATTGTCTTGTCACTATCTGGTGAGCACCCACTGGGCCCACTCCGTCCCCGGGGCTACAGAGAGGGAAGGGGAACCTGCCGCAGATGGGTGGTGGGTCCCCAAAAGACGACAGGCTCTCAGTGAATGTGGCCCCAGCCCACTCCCACGGTCCCCTCCCCCACCAGACCAGCTGTCGTACCAGGCGGCTTCCCCTGATGAGGAGGCCCTGGTCACGGCGGCCCGGAACTTCGGCTACGTGTTTGTGGCGCGCACGCAGGACAGCATCACGGTGACGGAGCTCGGGGAGGAGCGGGTGTACCAGGTCCTGGCCATGATGGACTTCAACAGCGTCCGAAAGCGCATGTCTGTGCTGGGTGAGCGCCCTCGGCCCGGGATGGGGGCGGGGGCGGAGGGGGGAATGCTCATGGACAGCCGAGCCTCTCCCTCCACAGTCCGGAACCCCGAGGGCTCCATCTACCTCTACACCAAGGGCGCAGACACCGTCATCTTTGATCGCTTGTATAAGAAGGGCTTGACAGAGGGGACCACGGAAGAGGCCTTAACGGTGAGTCGCTGTGGGAAGGGAGGGAGGGGGAGGGGTAGAGGGAGGGAAGCAGAGGAGGAGGATGTGCAGAGAAACTGCCTCAGGTGTCCAGGTGCTCGTGTCCACATGGGCAGGGAGGACCTGAACTGCACCTGCACAGAGGGGGCATCTTTTGTCAGGCATTCGAGGATCCTCTCTGGTTAGGCTTTGGCCCTGGATACTGACCCCCGTCCCCAGCCAGGCCTGGGTTCCGGGACACAGGCAGCCTCCTGCCCCAAATATTTTGTCTCTGTGGATGAAGCCCAAACTCCTCAGCCACGCTTTCGAAGCTGTGTCTGTGTTCCCTGCTGGCCTCTCTGGACTGGCTCTTCTTGCCCCCCAGGGTGTTCCCCAGGATGCTAGTCTCTGGCTTGCAGTTTTCCCCATGCTCAGGTGATGCCCCAGGACCTTTGCACACACTGTTCCCTCTGCTGGGACGCCTTCCTCTACTCTGTCACGCAGGAACTTTTGGTCCTCGGGGCTCTGCCACCTCCGGGTCCCCACCTCCAGGGAGACTTTCCTACCTGACTCTAACATGGGGCTGTCATGTCATGCCAGGTGACCCCTCTCTGGCCCAGCCCTGACCTTCAGGGGTTCCCTAATGGCTTTGCTGGGTCCCCAGCATAGGGCCCAGGGGGGTGTTTATGCAAAGACTGCCCCGAGCTCCTCACTCAGGGCTTCTCAGAGTGCCCTGCTCTGCAAGGATGGGGAGTCCGGGGCAGGTGGCTGGTCTCTGACTAAGAACTGAGGACGCGCAGTCAGAACAATGACCCAGAGCCCAGGAGCTTGGCACGATGGCTTGGTTCAACTGCCCCATGGAACGGATAGGTAAACCGAGGCACGAGAGGAGCAAAGGCTTCTGTGGAGCTTTGATGGCCAGGGAGCCCCTGTCATATCCAAGCCCAACCTCTGAGGCCACCTCCAGTCCAGAACAAAAGCAATGCCCTAACCCAGTGGTCGGCAAACTGCGGCTCGCGAGCCACACGCGGCTCTTTGGCCCCTCGAGTGTGGCTCTTCCACAAAATACCACATTCGGGCGCGCATGTACAGTGCAATTGAAACTTCGTGGCCCATGC